CCCTCTCCCTCTCCCTCTCCCTCTCCCTCTCCCTCTCCCTCTCCCTCTCCTCCCTCTCCCCTCTCTCTTTAGCAAATTGCCCAAGAAGTCTCAGAGCAACACCTGTCACAGGGGAGATTGTACCCACCACTCAGCACCATCCGAGATGTGTCTCTGAGAATTGCAGTCAAGGTAAGGAGCACCCTACTTGTACCCCTCTAGTATGGGTAGTAAGGTTCCACCTGTCCCTCTGACTTTGGGATGGCTAAGGGGATGTCAGGGAAAACATTCTAAGCCCCCTGAGCCTCCCTGCATGCACTCCAAAGACTGAGTAACAAATTCTTGCCTGCTCAATGGCCTGAGTTCCAAATACCCCCATTCAGGCCAATTCTAGGAAAGCTCCCAAATTTCCTCCACAAACACCAGGAAAGGGTCATCAGAGGCCATGGTCTTGTGAACCAGAATGTGGGTGGAATTTTTTCTTAATGAATCATATTCACTCATTTATGAGAAAGGTCAGCTTGCATAGCATCATAGCAAGGACTCAGGCTTTGGAGTCCTGACTCTGGCAATCAGAGGAATAATTGTGGCCCAAATGTCTTTACTTCCTTCAACTTTAGTTCTTTTTCTGAAGAGGTCTGTAGTTCCTCTCTCCCAGAGCTCTGGAGATTCAATGTTCTTGCAGAGCAGACGTTTGGTTTTCCTTTTTCCCTCTTGAAGAGATGATGGGGTGATCAGGTTCACTGAATATTTCAGACTATGAAATTGTGCAAAGGTGAGAGGATTTCAAATACAGCATAATACAACAAAAGACCAATTTCAAATAATAATTATCCACGCTAGATAACGGGTACATATCATTCCCGTTAGCGTACATGGCTTCTCTGTAAGAATGACAAATCATTTCAGAAACTGCACTGCACAGCAATACATAGTCCCCATGAGTTAGTTGTCCAGGGCAGGCACCCTTAAACAGCAGCTGTAAATAAAGTCCAACAACTTAGGTCCCAGTCCAGCTCAGCTACCCCCACTTCCTTCATTAGAGCTATTTGTTCACAAGATAATCATCTAGTTAACCTCTCAGCCTGCGTGGGAATGGCTTATGTTCACATTGCTCTAGGAAAAGGTTATAATTACTCTGCTTGACAACCAGTAAACTGAAGCACCCATGAAGTCTACCATGGCTTTAAACCCACAGGGAATGGGGAGTAGGTGAGATAGGCTCAACCTTGTTTAGCCTGGCCTAGGCACGAGGCTAAACAAGCCTCAATGATAAATAAAGGTTAATCCTTCATCTCCAGAGCTCTGAGAGAGGTAGACTACTAGCCTCTTGGGAACATAAGCAAGTACTATCTAGAAAGAAAGTTTTAATCCTCCTCAGTGGTGTTAGAGGTGACAATTGAAGAGAAACTTATCTGGTTCTTTAGGAGATATTCCTTTGCCCCTGGCTGCCAAGTAAGGGGCCTTTAAGACAGATTTATCCATAGATCTAGTTCCTCACTCAAACATATTTTTCCTAGGTCCTCGACTATGCATACAAACACAACCTGGCCTCCTATTATCCAGAGCCCAAGGACAAGGAGGCTTTTATAAAATCTCTGATCTACACTCCAGACTATGACTCCTTCTCGCTAGATACCTACAGCTGGCCTAAGGAAGCTATGAGTGTTCAGAAGGTCTGATGCCGTCTCCAGAGATTGTTTGGGCTGAATGAAGAAATACAATATAAACAGGTTCCAAAATGGCCAGTCATGTCACCGTGGTTATGTTTGTTGTTTGTTTTCTTTTGGGTTTTGTGGTAGATGCTAAGGAATACAGCCATGATGGCCTTGTTCCTGAAGGCCCTGGAGGCTCATCCTCCTATAACACTTTTTTGAATTACTTTCTGAATATTTCTTTTACTATTAATTGCCAACTATTAAGCAAGCCTTGTGGGAAATTCTGCCTAGAATCCTGCCTTTGTAAAGCTCAAAGTCTAGATTGGACACAAGTCCTTTTTCATAAGAGAGAATGCGTTATAGCCATGAAAAAATATATTCATATAGAAGTTGGAGTGCAGGCTGGAGAGATGGCTCAGTGGTTAAAAGCACTAACTGCTCTTCCAGAGGTCTTGGGTTCAATTCCCAGGCTCACAACCATCTGCAATGGGTCCAATGCCCTCTTCTGGTGTGTCTAAAGACAACTAAAGTGTACCCATATACATAAAATAAATAAATCTTTTAAAGAAGGAGGAGGAGGTAGAGGAAGTCAGAGTGTTTGGAGAAGAATGGGTACTTCTGCCGGGCAATAGTGGCACTCACCTTTAATCCCAGCACTTGGGAGGCAGAGGCAGGCAGATTTCTGAGTTCGATGCCAGCCTGGTCTACAGAGTGACAGCCAGGGCTACTCAGAGAAACCCTGTCTCAAAAAACAAAAACAAAAAAAAAGAATGGGTACTTCCTATAAAGACACAAAAGGAGAGATGGCTTTGTACTTTGCCCCAAGAGTAAAGGATGGGTTAAGTCATAAGCACTCAAGAAATACAAGCACAGCTACTTGCTAGAAAATGAGATCCACCCATTAGGGAGTTAATCCCTTTTAGAATAATACATTACCTTCAAGACTCAGTAGGATGTGGGGGCTAAGTGACTAGAGGTTCATCAAGAAGACTCACTACCCTTTGGGTTGTTGAGTATTATACATTCTTTTTTGTCATTACCAAAAGGAAAACTAGAGAAATGGGGGTGGGAAGGATCAGCATGCCAAAGAATGAGGAAAAAGAAAAGCAATGAGAGCAAACACAGTGGGGAAGCTGTTGATTTAATGTCTAAGAAAGACTTGATTTAATGTCCCAGGTTCTGGAACACACTCTCCTTTCCATCGTTCACACTGACATAATTGAGCAAGTCAAAGCAGTTTGCTTGTAGAGGTGACATCAGTCTGTCCTTGGCATTTCTGAGGCCAATTTAGTGAAAACTTCTACCTCCCCTATGTTCAAGAGTGCACACACTCCAAGACAAACAGTAAAGAATGACATGGAGTCCCTGCTGAGACTCGTCTCCTTTCACTGTATAAGCCATGTTTAAGACCTACCCCTACTGTCTCCTTGGCCAGGATTCCTGCTGCATGTAACAGTAGGTCCTATTTGACTGTCTTTCAGTTCAAGCCAGGTAAACTATTAAGATCCATGGAGAGTATTTAGCAGGTTCATGAATCAATCGCCCCTTGTTTGGGTCTTATTCTTCCAATATCAGCTTCTTTGGTGCTAGTTCTCAGCCAACAATATCCCCAAAGCATAGACCTAAATGAGAAAATAAAACTATTCATTTCTAGAAGAGAATAAAGCAGTCAGTCCTTGTTAAGACTCCCCAGTAAATCTCTGATTACAATCTCACATATAAGGCCTGTGTCCCTGGGAATACAACTCGCAAAAGACGGAAGAAACTGGCTAAGGTTTCCAATTTTCTGATCTATTGCATCAGCCCCACATGGTCACCAAGAGCCTTGTTGAATTTTTCATTTCCTCAGGAGAAACAATCTTCCTGGACTCAATCCTTTGTATTCCATGTCCAGAATTACTAAATGAACCCAGAGAAGAAAATGGCTGCTTATCTAAGAAAGGCTCCCTCCACAGAATCCTATACTGCTAGTCGATATTCCTCTCAGAGTTCTCACATAGCTCTAAATATATGGCTTTTGAAATGTCTTCCTATTTTTTTAATTGGTACAGGTAGTGTCTTGGGGTTCCATTATCTACTATATCCTATGCAGAGAAGTAGAAGTTTCTAGACATAGGTTTTCAAATTTCGAGATTTATTCTTAATATCGCTGAATTATAGTCAAAGAATTTGCTGGGGAATTTTTTTGTCAAATGTTATCAAATTTAAGAAAACTGTTCACATTCTCTTACAAAGTGATATGTATACCAACATGATTGCAGGAAATACCTTTTGTTTGGGGGTTATTATTTTAATCAATTCTATGTATTATGAATTTTTTTCTGCTCAACCTATTTCTGGAAGATAAGCAGAGTTATGAGAAACTTCAATTTTTCTTGTATCTCTGACCATATTTGCTTTATATCTTTTGTTAGGTGTATGGAGTTTAAAATTGTTATAACTTATGGAAAGCTCAAAACTATAAACCTTTGTGGTTTACTTAATAATGCATTTGTTTTGTCATGCCATATCTTGAATATCACATCTTGGAAGTCTCTCTTGCAATTCATTATTTATTCAGATGTTTAAGCTTGTAGAGTTCCTGGTGCTAGTGAACACTCTCCTGTAATTTCTCCCACAGAACTCGAACCATTCTTTCCCAAAGTGAAAATAGGCTTGTCTTAACACTAAAACATAGAATCATTTCATCAGTTTCACAATAAAAACATTATCAAGAACCCTAATTTTAAATCACATAATAAAAACATAAAATATTGAAAGTTCAAATCATTAGTAGAAACTCTTGCTTGGTTAAGAAAACACAGGAAAACATCAGTCTTTAAAGTTGAGTAATAGGTAGTAAGTAATTTCTAATGTTTGGCAAAAAAATAGAAGTTTCAAAAAATATGAATAATTACTGTTTTAGCTACAAAGACAATATGTCTCTACCTTTTATTTAAAAAAGAAAAAAAAACTTTTGAAAAGGTTTGGCTGGGGAGATGGTTTAGTAAGTAATGTGCTTGCCATGCAAACCCTAAGACCAAGCTGAGAGCAGCAGGATGCACTTGTACTCCCAGCACTGAGATAGACCCAAGGAGACAGTGGGGCCCCTGGGGCTTGATGACCAACCAGCCTAGTTCAATTGACAGGCTCCAGGTAAAAGTTGAGGGACTCTATGTCAAAAACCCAAAGAAGAGAGCAACTGAGGAAGTCACTTGCCATTTGAGGCATGGGTACACCCACACACATTCAAATACACATAAGAAATGCTTATAAATTAATAATATTCCAGCACAATATTTCATTTCATAGTCTTCTCCTATTCTATCCTCAACCCTCCTCTAATTCATATGCCAAACATAAATATTTATGGCAAGGTACTTTTATCAGAAGATGTTAAACACACACTGCTTCTGTACAGAATGGATCTTGCATGAGCTTCTACCAAAGCTGGCTTTTCAAAATAGAAGTTTCAAAAGAGTATAAAATAAGATGTATGGAAATGCATTTGATCACTGTGAAACTTAAAATCCCACAGAAGCAACTGTCGCACAAACTTCAAGAAGGTGAAGACTGAAGAGCAGTTAAATAACTATCTGCTTGCAATGTTTGAAATGACTTAAGGAATAAACCACATAATGTATAGAATGCTGTTTATATTTTGGGGGGAATTTTAATTCTGTATTACTGAAACCAGATAAGTACTGTGTCATGTCTTGGTAGCCAATCTCACTAAATTTCTTAAATATCTCACATGTGATAGTAATAACCATAACAGAGGTTGGACTTTTATCAAGCTTGTAGCTTTAATGGAAACATTAGATTCATCCATTAAGCCTATATTATTGACTAAAATGTACAGTAAATCTGGTTGTGTCTCAAGCTCCACTCCTAAGGAAACAGCATCAAGCAGCCACCTTGTATTGAACACTTTTTTTCTGCTGGAGACTCTGAAAAGCAGCTGCATTTTAGAACACTGTTTCTCCAAGTACAGAAGTTGCTTACTATAGAAAACTCTGAGCCATTTTTGTCTTATGAACTGTAGCTCCTCTTCAGTTTTTACTGCACTTTCAGTTAATACTAAAGCAGCAGGCACTGGAATTCTCCCAAGACCTGCAGCACAATGTACAGCAATGTAATAACCAGGCTTCTCCCGAAATTTCATGTTTACAAGACTTAATCAGTCGTCCACCGTCTGCTTTGATGGTGTTGAACCATCATCAAAAGGCCATCCTAGAACCTTCTTTCTCAACAAGAGCCATGTCTTAAGTTGCTTCACACACTACTCATGTGTGTACCATCCTGCTAATTCTGTAGTTCTTAAGTCCCTCTAAATCTGTTCTGGGTTGTACCAGTTGGGTTATGTGTGGCAAGAAATCTCATACTCCTGTAAATGAACTTCACAGCAAGTAGGTGGTTCATCGAAGTCATGTTAATCTAGTTAAAAATAACACTTCATACGATTATTTTTAAAAAGTTTTTAAAAATTAATTCAGAAATGATTTCAAGCAACCAATGTCTAATACTGGGCACCTGAAATTCCCAGAGCTTTGAAGACGAAATTGGGACTGACAGGAAAAGAATATCCCAACAAGCATCAATGTAGGAATACAGAAGCAAGGCATGAATGCTTGACCAGGCCACTCAGAACCTGTGTTCCGATGACCAACCTGACTCTACTTTTTTTTTTTTGGATGATTTATTTACATTTCCTATGTTGTCCCCTTACCCCATCCCCCACCACCCCCTCAGAACCCCCAATCCCCTCACCCCTCCTCCTTCTTCTCTGTGGATGTAACCTCTATCTACACCCCCCCCACTCCCACCTCCCCACCCTCAAAATTCCCACCCCCTGGGGCATCCAGCCTTCATGAGGTCAAGGTTCTCTTCTTCCACCTATGCCCAGCAGGGCCCTCCACTTTTACATATTCAGCTGAAGCCCTGGATCCCCCCCTAAGTGCTCCCAGGCTGGTGGTTTAGACCCTGGGAGCTGTGGTTGGTTGGTATTGTTGCTCTCCTCATGGTGCCGTAAATCCTTTCAGCTCTCCTTCAGTCTTCACTCTAACTCCTCTATTGAGAACCCCATGATCAGTTCAATGGCTAGTTGTGAGCATCTGCCTCTGAATATGTCTGACTCTTGAAGGCCTCTGAGGAGATATCCATATCAGGCTCTTATCAGCATGCACTTCCTGTCTTCCACATCAGCATCTACCTTTGGTGATTGCACATGGGATAGATACTCAGAAAATTGGACATAGCATTACCCGAGG